AACTAAAATTTATTTTTGGAATGGAGTATTCTAAATTTACTCACTTATGTGGCTGCCGGTGAATTAATGCAGTGATCATGATTGAACGATGATGCCAGACTGTGTGTTTTCATATTGAAATGTAGTACAATAAAAACAAATAGCTAAACTGTTAATGTATAAACTTTATAGTTAAATTTTTTATTATAGATAGTATTGTATGATATAAAACAAAAGGCTTTGTTGCTACTGACTACATAAGGTTGGTAAACATACTTCGACGTTAGTCACTTAAAGGCCTATTGGTCCCTGCAGAATTGTAGTGAAGAGTTTCAAACTCCATTTCAGACTCATGAGATGTTCACAAATGTGAAATATTTTAAGTTTGTACATAATAACGCAGGATATAGGCATAAGAGCGTTTTATAATATAATTCTTCCAGATCTCTTCATTTCTTACATTAGTCAGTATGGGCAATTTCTAACTTGCATGTGTAGCATGTTAGCGCTATGATGAACTACAATGAACTATGATAGCTCTTAAGTTTTTCTATGGTAGAGCTTTTACAGTTTAAACACTTGTTAAATATTGTCTTTAAGTTCATTAGGTTAATATATCTGTTTAATATATCTGTTTAAATACATTGTGACCGAAAAGTTTTCGGAAATTCTCATTTAAAATTCGCGCGCTGTATATTTTCGGACTATTTAAGTTTAGAGTTTGGCAGCACTTTCCTTAATTACTATGCCAAAAATGAGCGCATCGTCAGCATCGTTTACAGCAAGCTTGAAACCTCACCTCAGTAGTGCGTTGCGAAAAAAAAACAATGGAAAAAAATATTGATCAAAGAGTTTGCATCAAATTTTGTGTTTCGAACGAATTTTCGTGTGCAGAATCGTTGCGAATGCTACAAAAGGCTTATGGGGAATCAGTTTTATCGAAAACTCAAGTTTATGAGTGGTACAAAGCCTTTCAGGACTGTCGTACGACCGTCGAAGACATGCCGCGTTCTGGACGACCTTCGACCTCTACCACCGACGAAAACATTGAAAAGGCAAAGGAAATCGTGTTCAAAAATCCTCATGTGAGTGTTAGAGAGATAGCACGAGAGCTAGGCATCGGTCGTGAGATGGCTCGTTTGATTTTGGTGGACAATTTGTGTATGCGACGTGTCAACGCTCGGCTTTTTCCGATTCACCTCAATTTGTTCCAAAAACACCATCGTGGACAGGTCTCGTTAGACATGCTTGATCGTGCCAATTCCGATCCAACTTTCATGGAACGCATCATAACGGGTGACGAGACATGGGTCTACGAGTACGACATGCAAACAAGCCAACAATCATCGGAATGGAGAGGAAAAGACGAGCCGAAACCGAAAAAACCACGCCAAAGTCGCTCGAAAATCAAGGCAATGCTGATTGTTTTCTTCGATATTCGTGGTGTGGTGCATCATGAATTCGTCCCTGAAGGACAAACAGTCAATAAAGCCTATTATTTGACTGTTTTAAGACGTTTGCGTGAAAATATCCGCCGTAAACGGCCTCAATTGTGGAAGGATAATTCATGGATTTTTCATGACGATAATGCTCCCTCGCACCGAGCCAACATTATCAACGATTTTAAGGCCAAACATTCAATAAATACCATCGAACAGCCCCCGTATTCACCTGATCTTGCACCGTGTGACTTTTTCCTGTTTCCCAAACTCAAATTACCACTCAGAGGAACGCGTTTTGAATCCATAGAAGACGTAAAACAGAATTCGCAGAGGAAACTCAAAGCCATACCGGAAAGCGCCTATAAAAAATGTTTTGATGATTGGAAGAAACGTTGGCATTTGTGTATCGCTTCTAATGGAGCATATTTTGAAGGAGATAAAATAAATATTGATGAAGATAAAGAATTTTGCGTTTTATTTA